GTGTCACAGATTTAACCTTCATCTAAAGACAAGTTGTACCCAGAGTATGCGAAAAGAATGGGATGACAAGAATGTACTGGTTTCTTCTCCTAAGAACTGAAAGGAGTTAGATTGCCTCATGTTTGGGCATGTAACTCCAAAATACTAGGTGTTTTAAGGCATTCTCACTCAGTGCAAAAATGGAAGATATATAAAGCAACAAGTTGTCTGCATTTGATCATTGGTCAGATTGTAAAAAAAAAAAAAAAATTGTTTTGGCAACATTCTCTATGTTATTCTTATTCATATGATCCTAGAACTTTATGTGAGAACTGAATAGCAGAAGATGTATAGATGTATTATTAAATATTTTTCAGAAGTTGTGCTGTTAAGCAAATTTAAAGTCAACAGTAATAATGACTAAGAAAGCAATATAAGAAAGCAATATAATGAGTTCAAGGATATCTATCTGATATATTTTTTATATTCATCATGAATTGGGGTAGTCTTTTAATATATCTATCCTTTTTTGTTGTATGGTTTATAGTAGAAAGAATCTTACTTTAAATTAAAAAGAACCTAAAGAGATAATTCAACAAAAGCAGAGAATATGTTTGAGCTTGTCGGGAAATTTAGATATTAAAATACTAGAGAGATACACCAAGGATATTTGAATAATAATAAAAAAAAAGATTTGTAGAACACAACGTGCCTATCGGGAAACCCAAAGCAAAACAGAGCAAAAGTGAGTACATCATTTTAAATAATGATTTTGCCATCTGGCATTTTATTATCATAATTTGACCACCAGTGCATGAAAATATATTAAAGTTCATTAGCCTTCTGCTCTTGATTTAATAGTGAACTTTAAAATATATTAATATCATAAACCAGCAAATGAGGACAAATAAACTGATAATAGTAGATTCATTGGGATAGTTTTCCCTTTTGGAGGGAAAGTCACAATTTTTTTCCATGATCCCCCTTTTTTTGTAAACACTGGAATAATTTACAAGGATAACTTTATTGCAGCGAGAGTGAATCACCTCTGGAGTGAGCCTTGTTTTTGTGCAACATTACTGTAAGACCATTGGAGTAAATGTTTCAAACAAAATGTACTTTATGAAATTATAGAACATAAAAATATTTATGTGCTTATTAATCTGTATTATCCCAAGAGGGTTAATGAGGCACCATATCATGCACAAAACAAATGCAGGGAAAAAAATGGGTGCTGCATTAGCTTTTTAAAGTCAAAGAAGTATCACATAATAATTCCCTGATATGCAACATAAAGTGTCTATGGCCACATATCTAAGTTCCTTTCCTTGATGTCATTAGCTATAAGGAGTGAGTAATGTGAAGGATAAAATAAGCATTATGAATACAGAGACATAAAATTCCACTGTCCTTCCTTTTCTGAAATACTCTGGGAGGTATTCTGATATTTTTTAATCCGTCAATTTTCCCAGTTAATATCTCTAGACCTCAAACAACTGAAATATTATAAAAATGCATTAGTCACAAAAGATTTATTTTCTTACATTGCACTAGGCTTCAAGATATTTTCTGCCATGCTTTGCCTTTAGTATCAATATTATAAAAATTTCACTGTAATTTTATAACTGCCTAATAACAAACTGAAAACAGAACTTCTGAGTTTCCTCATCAGAAAGGGCCATAGAAAAGGCCTTAGGAAAGAAAGATTCACTTACTTCTGCAAACTTGGCAATCTGTAATTTAACTTTAATTTGTATTTTATGCATGAATTTTACTTGTAAAGATGAAATTAAATTTGTTTCCCCTACACCCCAACTCCAAGAAGTCACAGGAATGGACTCTTTATAGTGCAGTGAAATATTTTTTCAAACCATAAACACACACACACACATATATATACCTTGTAAACAAGAGGTTAAGACATTTTATAGCACATTTAAAAATTATTTTCTTCCTCAAATCTATCATGTGATAACTTAATCCTAAACAGACTTTAGGGCCCTAAACTAAAATTATAAGAGCTATTTCATTTGCTTTTTGTACTGGGTAATTGTAAGAATCACAAACAATAAATCATGGAAATCCTTTCTGGGTTTGTGGCTTTTAAGGAAATAATATTGAACTTTTGTATTTTGTCTTTTAATTGGCTCCCTGGTATCTTCAGAATGATGTCTAAACTATTTGGTACAGATTCTTCCATCTGGACCCATCTACTCTTCTTACGTTATCGCCTATCACTGTTGTCACAAACCATACCCTATAGCTAAAGATTGCTACTTTAGTTTATTATATTCAGAACTTTCTTCACTTTGTACCCCTATTGCTCATCTTGGTTCCATCATACCTGAATATATAGTAATTCTAAACATCTTTCAAGGTTCATCTCATCTGTCATTCCTTGTTGAAGCTTGCCGTTATATCCTCTCTTCCCCAAAGCTAAAAGTAAAACTTTCTACCACTGGGGCTTCAGATGCTTTTAATACTACTTATTTGAATTTCATTATTTTTATTACAGTTATTTAGATTTAAGTCAACTCCAAGGTCTGTGAGTTGGAAATTATACCTAATTATTATTGTCTTCATAGCAGAGCACTTTTAAAATTATGGTTTATTATAAGTGAATGTCTTACAGAACAAACTCAGAGTCAATGCTTCTTTTGAATGTGCGTAATCAAGCTATTTTTTGTCATCATTACTTTAATAAGTAACATTATTTTCTATGAAGAATAGAGTGCATATACATAAACCCATGTGCCAGTTGCCATTGCACTGCCTCTCACATTTTCCTCTAGACCTTTGAGCATAGTTTTAATGACTGTTTGAAATCTCTGTCTCCTCGTTCCAAATCTGGGTCATCTTGGAGTTGGTCTTCATTGGTGTCTTTTCTCTTAAGTATGGGTCATAATTTTCCTGTTTCTCTATATGTCTAGTAAATTAGAATTTTATTCTAGATGATGAATAATGTGTGGCAGAGATTCTGGATTCTGTTACATTCCATCAAAGAGTATTGACATTTTTGTATATACATTTAGAAATGTACATGTATACAATAATAAAAATAATTTTTTTCTCAGAACTGCCTACAATCATGAAGGGTTTCTTCTTTATGTGCTTGTAACAATGTAGACAAGGGGACTTCCAGGCAAGATGGTCAAATAGGAACAGCTCTGGTCTGCAGCTCCTAGTGAGACCAATGCAGAAGGCGGGTGATATCTGCATTTCCAACTGAGGTACCCGGTTCATATCACTGGGACTGGTTAGACAGGGGGTGCAGCCCACAGAGGGTGAACAGAAGCAGGGTGGGGTGTCAACTCACCCTGGAAGTGCAAGGGGTTGGGAACTCCCTCCCCTAGCCAAGGAAAGCCATGAGGGAACTTGAAGTGAGGGATGGTGCTATCTGGCCCAGATACTACACATTTCCCAAGGTCTTTGAAACCAACAGAACAGGAGATTCCCTTGGGTGCCTACACCACAAG